GAAACAGTTCTCTTGGGAAGACAGCATGCATTTGCCTGCCAGCCTGGCCTCCTCTCCCTGGTCTTACCTTCTAAACAGCTCGCTCCTTTTACACGTGTCACAACAGGGACTCCATAAAGTGGTCCTCTGATATGGACATGGAGCAAAGGAAAGGCAGGGAAGGTCTTAGCTATAACCTCACAGTGTTTGTACATCCTGGATTCACTTCTCCAATAAACTCCTCACATAAGAACCTATGTACTTTGGAGAACTTGCAAGATTAATTTCAGACAACAAACCCCCAGCTGCACTGGTCACAAATATGCTTAAGACAAAGAATAGGTAACAGTGCTTTTCACAGCTACAAGGACACAGGCAGCAGTCCTCCGAAATGCAGTCAACAGGAGCTCCTGCTATACTGAGAAAAGAAAAAAAAAAAAAAGAAGAACCTTTTTGCTCCCACCTGCCACCAGAAATTTCTCAGCCTCAGAGGCTGAGCAAAACACTCAAGTTAAAGTTTCAGACCCTAATCTCATTATCGGCTGGAAGCTGAACAAGTGATTTCTGATTTATTTTTCGGCTTGTTGGATTTCAGGAATGTTCTTGGAGAACAGCAGCCACTCACATATGCTGAAGCAGGAAGGGTTAAATGCTTTCTCACTACAGCCTAACCAAAACCCAGAAGGCTGCAGAGATAAGCAGTCTGGGTAAGCAAAGTAGATGGAAGTTACAGCATCTGAAAGACACTCAGCAGCATGGCAACAAGTGCCAAAAATCAACCCTCATGAGCTTTGCACCAACCTTCGATTTCTTCTTCCTCCTCTTCATCCTCCTCATCACTGGATTCGCTGACCTGAACAGTAATGGCAGTGCTGGTAACAGTGGTCCAGTCAAAATAGACTCCAAATCCAATGTCGTAGTCGTCTGTAGCAAACTCCCAGCACAGACGTTTCCCATCAGGATGGGTTGGCACACGGACCGTCACCACCTCGCCTCGCTTCACCACCATCCTAGCATTCTTCTCCTTTCCCATCTTGGTTTTGAATTCCTTCATCTTCCCCATGGTCCATGTAGTGGGTGGAGCCAGAGGGGGAGGCTGAGCTGAGACAAGGGAGAAAGATCAGCAGCTCATCTTACTTTTCAATACCGACAAACTGTTATATGAAAACAGTGAAGCTACTTCTGATAAGACTCTTTTATTCTGGAGCCTGCTCCCAGAAGCAGATGTGAAGTTTTCACACAACACTAGCCAACAACCCACACTTCCAGCAGGAGTCAGCAGTGTCTCTGACACAACCTCTGCTCTTCTCTGGCCAAGGCAGGCACTGGCACTTTAAAAGTGCCCACAGAGTCATTGACAAATGGTGTCCTTTCAGGCCTCACCTTTCCTCTGCTCCCCAAGGAGGTCTGCAGTCTCCAGCTCAGCTGAAAGGATATCCACAGCACCAGTGTGATCCGACTGAATCATGACGATATCCCCTCCTCCTTGGTGTATGTGGTAGTTGGTCATTCGAACAACAGCTTCCTGCACAAAGCACAGAGTCACAAAGATTATCACAGTAAGAAAGTCCTCAGCTGGACTTAAAAAAAAATCAGTAATAATCTAAAAATCTTTCTGAAGTCAAGTCAGATCCTGCAGAAGCTTCTGTTACAGCTGAAAAGAAATGGCTGGCTCTGAGGCATCTCTGCATTATTCCACAGCACCAAATTCATAAACTCTGGAGAAAAACGCTGCATTAATGTCACAAATTACAGACCCCTCAGCCTCCCCAGGAGTCTGGGCAGGCACATGTTTGCATCTGCCTCAGAGCTGTCATCTTTCAGCAAAGCAACAGCCTTGCAGATTTAGAGGACTACTCTTGGAAAGCACTCCCAAGGCACTGCCTCTCTAGGGAGAGCTTTTCAGCTCTGTCTGCATTTAGACTGCACCATGATCACACTGACATTCACTGCATCCTGGGTAAAGGTTCATCTGGTTTATTAGCGCCAGCCCTCTCTCCTAATGCATAAAAATGCACAGCTCCTGAGCTGCACGCTACTTGCAAAGTATTTCCTAAATGTATTTGTAGTGCAAACAAATTGGCTGCTCACCAAAAGAAGCGAAAGATGGCAGATTCCCTTCAGCTCCCTCTCCCATAAATCTGCAAGAAGGGGATCCCAAAAACACCCACACAAGATGCAGAAGGTGAAAATAACCTTGAAGCCTTAGCAAGCCAAAAACTGCAGGGAAGTAAGGACTAGCCAAAGACACAAGGGATTTCACAAAGCTGATTGATAACTGTTACTTCCCACTAACGTATAGAAGAAATATAACCAAATCTACATTAATATTATTTTTATCTTAACACAATCCTTAAAGCCTCTGTCCCACAGTCATTAAGCACAGCAGTAGGGTGGAAGAAATACTGCTGCACCTCTTTCCTTTCTGTTCAAGTTAAGAAACCCCCACTTACCTCTTTGGTGGGCTCGGTTTGGTCAGGCAGCTTCTCTTCTAGTTCAGCTGCTTCCTGGTCCTTCGAAGTGCTACCTTCTTCCTTCGAATCCTCTGTCGCTCCCACACTCACAGGCGACCTAATCTGCGACCTCTCGGAGGAAGAGAGCACTACAATTTAGCACTTATACCCAGGGCACAAGCGGCAGAGCTCAGCCATGACAGAGCTCACTCCGCTCTGCAACTGGAATTCAAGGGGACAGAAGACAACCAGCTTCCAGCGGTCAGCACCCACCACCTGTGCAAAGAGCCCCCCAACACCCCACTTCTGCCTTCATCTCCACAGGAGGAACTCACTAACACTGTACGAAGCACAGAAATCAGCAGTAACTGTTTCTGCTCAAGAAAGGACAACTTCTGCTGCGCCAGCTACTACTTGACATCTGCATATTCCAACAGAGGCCAGCTGGATTAACGAAAGGATTTGAAACAGTTTGGACAGCCATCCCGAAAATGCTCTCAGTTTAAGTGGTCCATCACACCTTTCCCATTAGCAATCCCAAGAAATACAGAGAACACACAGGTCCCTTTCTGCTGCGTGCAAATATGCCATACAGACAAGCAAGCCGTAAGTCATACAGGGACAGCACAAGAGGTCCAAGATCTGCACTGTGACAAGAGGAGATGGACGTGTCAGAACAAAAAAGAAAGGTACAAAGAAGTAAACGAATGAGCAAGAAAGGAAACAACATCCTTGACATTCTTTCTCTTGTGAAGATTTTTCTAAATGACTGTTTAAAAAACAACTTCCTGCATGTTGTATATAACTGGAAAGAGTTGTCATCCCAAATTAACTCAAACGGATGCCAGAACAAGTCTTCTCTGTCATACTGTTAGACACTATGCGAAACCTCCTCGAGAAGCAACCTAGTCTTTAGTAACAGTTTCCTTTTTGAAAAGTTCAGCCTTCTCTCAGCACCACAAGACTACTGTAAACTGCCTCTGTCTGAAGAATCGTAAGTGTGAGAACACAGAAGTAATGAAAACTATGTATGTATTTCCTCAAATTTCTCCTTTCACAAAGAACAAATATTTTCATTAACAAAAGATCAGACTATCAGTCTAGTCTGGAACAGTTAATTTTATTTTTTTTTTAATCGCAGCTCAACTCAAGAGATATTCCGTGCTGCATCTGTACAGGTGGCCAGCACAGGGCAAATGTGACTTTTGTTTCCAGATCTGTACTCTGACTGGAAGAACGTACAAGCTCTGTGAGCAGATCTACAAACAAAATGTTCAGCCAATTCCTCTTGAATTAACCCTTTTGGACCGTCACCCTTCCTTTTAAAGGAGATTCAACTTACACAATTTATCAGGTAACTTTCATGAGTATCCAGCATCTACTGTGGCCATTCTGCTCACAGCCTACATTCATTCTTTAAAGAAAATTAGAGGACATAGTAAAGAGTGATACAGGAACACATTTGGAGTCAAGAAAGTTGATATCAATATCATTTGCACCAAGCCAAGATGACATCAAACTGCTATTTTACTAACTAGGGTCATTTGCTGATTTTTTCTGAATTTTCTTAATGAGGTAGTTATTTAATGAATTGTGTGATCTTCCGCCTGACAAATTTAACTTGCAAATTTCTAAAATCGTGCCACATGCAACACATGCATGCTGGTAAGTGACAACTCCACAGCACGCAGTGCTTGTGCTTGCAGCCAGCAGGCTGGCCACAAGCACCACCTGCCCAACAGGTAATGACGAGCCCCACGGCTGATAAGGAGGCTGATCAGCAGCATGAAGGGAAGCGTGACGTGAAAGACGAAGGGTGAAGAAGAAAAAGCAAACAACACTGTCAAAAAAATAAATGAAAAGCAGTAAGATGCATTTTCTAGCTCAGCTTTCACCAGAACCATACAGGGTGGGAATGCTTAATTATTAAGTTGTCCTTCAGTGAGAGCAGGGCAGATTTCCTGCGGAATTAGTTCATGTAGTTCATTAGCCCCTTAGTTCTCGCTGAATACAAACCCCCCGGCGTTCCCTGCAACCTGACTGAGCCTGGGATCTGAAGAGGTGAGGCACGAACTGCACTTGGCTATTTTGTAGGCTTTGTAACACCCTGACGCCTACAGGAACAGCCCCTCCAGCACTGATTCCCGCATACACCGCCTGAAAGCCGACAGCTGTGTCCTGTCCCCCCTCCCCACCCTGACAGTCTCCGCTGTGTGCCGAGGCGGGGGCGAAGGGCCCGCAGCCCGGGGGGCTCCCTACCCGCACTGCGAGGCGCTGGGCTCCGAGGGCTCCCCCGGCTGCTCCTCAGGCTCCGTCCGTGGGGCTGCATCCTCGTTTCCTGACCGCAGAGAGAACACAGGGCGAGATGGAACAACCCCGCAGCGCTTCGGGGCGCTCAGACACGAGGGAAACGCACCCGCACCGCCCTCAGCCCCCGCCCGCCGCCCCCGCCCCGTACCTGAGGCGCCGCTGAGGCCGCCCGGGGGCTCGAACCGCGGTCCCTGGGGGGCTGCGGGCGGCGCGGCCGCCATGGGCACGGCCGAGCGGAGCCGAAGCGCCCCGCCGGAAACAGCCGAGCGGAGCCGGGGCCGCGATGGCGCGGGGCGGCCGCAGGAAGCGCCGGTTGCCGGGGGAACGGGGCCCGGCGGCACCCGGCGGCCGCCATGGAGCCCGCGGCCCCGCCCGCCCTGCGCTGGGGCAGCGCGGAGGTGGCCGAGTGGGTGTCGAGCCTCGGCTTCCCCCAGTACGAGGTGCCCGGCCCGGGGTGAGGGGTGAGGAGGGGGGGCTGAGCCCGCGGCTGACCCGCTGCCCGCTCCGCTTCCCCTCAGGAGTGCTTCAGAGCCAACGGCATCAGCGGCCGCCGCCTCGTCCTGGTGACCTGCAGCAGCCTGCCCGCCATGGGCGTCACCGACTTCGGCCACATGCAGGTGCCCCGGCTGCGACACCCTGCCCGGCCCTCAGACGGGTGCTCCGCCAGGCCCCTCAGCCTAAGGGCGGCTCACGAGTCCTCGGGTGTAAAGCCATGGACACCGCGTGCCAGCAGTACCTCAGGAGCTTGGCCGTGCAGTTAGCCTGCACTGCTCCTCCGACCCCACAAAAACCCCTAGCGGGGTGCACACGGCTTTCCTAGAAACTCCCTCAGAATTTCTTCTCAGTAGTTTTCCGCTTGCTGATCTGACTTGGTTCGTAGAGCATCTATAAATCTGGGCAGCTTTAGCGTGCTGCAATTGAGGCACAGTTCTCAAGCAGCAGAAGGTCAATTTGTTATTGCTTCCTTGCTTTATGCCCTGCTGAACAACATCTTGGCCTCTTCCCTGTTTTATAAACACGTAATTTTCCTTTCAAGCTGTCCTTTCTTTAACAAACAACAATAGTTAGCTCTTAGTTATAGTCTGGCCTTCCAAGGATTGCTAAAAGTTTCAAAAAGAAGCATTTCATATCTAAAATATATGTATGACATTTTTCTATCCTTTTATATTCATCGAGTTTTCACTAGAACCATGGCGGAGGAGCGTGTTCTTGATCTTTTATTGCCTCATTTAGGGGTGATAATAGGAGGCAAGAAACCGTACCTGAACAGCTCATTGCCTAGGTATTACAGCTCAGTATTTGAAACACACTGGAGTTTACTCTTCATTAAACCACACTGTTTTTTTTACAGAATAGTGTAATTATATTAAAATCAGCAGAAGCGTAGTGGTATAAGATATTAGAGATTCTGGTTATGAAGTTTAGGTTAACACCAAGACAGTAAAGGACCCACTAAAACTTCTAGCTTTTGTGATTATTGTTTTGGTTTACTTCACATTACAGCTCCAAACCTCACCCAAAGCAGGCTTTAGCCAAAGGAGATGCGGATTGTTGAAAGAGTTCTTGCACATGCCTACACTGTGGAAGCAGCACAGGTGTTGCCTGTGCTTTACAGAGTGTAAAATGGAGAAATTAATAGCAATTTGTCTTTCTCTTTCCTGGGATCTGTGGTTTGACTGCTGTGGCTTACAGTTACCACACCCTTAAAGTCAGCAAACACAACAGCTGAAGATAAATACTAGCAAAGAGGTATCTAACAATTAGCATGTGCCCTACAAAGCAGTAATCATCAACAGAGAAGCGTGAGCTTAGGTTTGTTTGAACAGATTCGAGAGAGAGAGAGATTTCAGAGCCTTTAGTTGTGCAGCGATGGACCCACTGTCTGAATCACAGGCATCTACTGTTGGCTGTGGGTTTGGTTGTGCTGATCTCATGCTCCCCCTTAAATGCATTCTTCCCTTTGACATCAAGCTGTAGTCTGGTCTCTTGCAAAGTCGAAGGGCTGTACCTTGAATCCAAACAGAGGGTAACATAGGCCAAAGCAATCTATTTATGTACCAAAAAAATCTATTTATGAACCAAAAAGCACTTTAAAATAACAAACATAGAAGTAAACCTAGTAAAACTGCTTTAGGCTGATTTATGTTGTTGACGTTAGCAGAGATGCAGCTAATACAGAAGGATCAGGAGGAAATCTGATTTGGGATCAAAAGGCACTAGCTTTGAGCAGGAGTCTCAGTTCAAAGCAGGTATGCATACACCTGGTGTCAGAGCCTTCCGAGGCTACAGAGCATGAACACAGAGACCTGGCCTGAGATGTGAGCTCAGACTGCAACAGTGACTGCAGTGAGCATCAGCATCCCTGGGAGGTCCTCAGAGCTCTACAAAAATAGGAGCAAAGAGAAAAACACCAACTCAAAATCATGTGAAGGAACTAAGACAAGCCCAGGAATAAAACTGAGGTTTTGCTTCAGCTGCAAACTAACTTTGCTTTAGTTGCAGGCCTGTCTTTTGTTCCTGTTTTCAATATCGGCTGAGAAATTGAAACTGACCACACAAGTAATCCTAAAAAGGAAAATGTAATAGAAAGTTCAACTGATAAAACAGATCCAAAAACTTTACAGATGTTTCCTGGAAGAGCAAAGCTCTTCACAGAATAAGGACAAGACTCTGGGTCACAGATGGGAGAAGTTATCTGGTTTTAAAAGAAAGGTGGTATCCAATTGCATTTTTTTCCAGGAGTTAGAAGGGATAATTTACCAAGTTGCAGTACTTTGAGAAAGCAGTCTGATTCTGCTAGAACTGATTCATTAATGCCATTCTTTATCAGAGCAAGTTGACTTAAATTTCATTTTCTTCCTTCTCCTTCTCTGTAATGGAAACCACAGAGGGACTGGAGGCTGCAGTTACTGAGCCAAGTCGTTTGTTTCGCATTGTGATTTACAGTTGCTTTCCCCAGAGGACACAAGGTAGAAGTTCAGATAACCTGGGAGAGGGAAAATCTTTATGCTCCAATGAATAGAGTCTGAGCACTGCTTTTTTATTCTAGAGCACCAAAAAGCACTTTCACCGCTAAGCTGAACGATCTTCAGTCTTTGTTTGGAATGGAATATGCCACCACAAGTATTGATTAGCACCACCAGTTTGCCTGTTGATCAGAATCGAAGGCATCAAATTGCAGTGGTGATTTTTTCCAGACAGCCACCTTTCAAGAGTATTTCTAGTGCAAGCAATCGCAATCTTTGTAGTCAGTCATTGGCACTTGCCAAAGGTGGCGAGTATTTTACATGCTTTTTAATCCTCACCCTCACATTGGGATACAGGGATTTTGTATGGTGGTTGTTTAACAGCTGAGAAACACAAAGCCACAGGCTAGAGAAATCAACTGCAAAGCCTGTTATTTCTCCTGTGGAAACTGAAGAAATTAGTCAGAGCTAGAATAAGTGATAGCTGGCATAATTCAGCAAGCTTGGAGATGAGTCTCTTTTAGTAATGCTTTCTGAAGCTTGTAAGTGATTTAGGAACATCTGACAGACTTCAGTGGAACCTAGATGTGCTTGCAAACCATGCTCTCCCCTGCTGTTTGTGTTTTCTAACTCTGCCCTGCTCGGCTGGAACCCAGGTTTGCAGAGCTCCGAGCAAACTGGGGCCCACCTGGGTCTGTCAGTAAGGGTGGACTGGGGCAGGTGCAAAGGTGAGGCCGTAAACCTGTGTGCAGGGGCACACCAGCTTCCCAGTAAGAAATATCAGTGAAAGGCTGTAAATAGTCAAAACCCAGATAGTTACCATAGAAATTAGCATGATAGCATCGGTTCAGTGACACAGAAACATTTTGAAATTAGGGGAAATGGCAGTTTGATACAGAACTCCACATTACATTTTGTGAAAGCTGCTCAGCATGGGCAGGTGAAGTTACTGCTGGTTTTAATTCCACCATGTTGGTATTGAAAATGGTATCAAAACCACTGAAAATATCACTCCAGCGTTCTTTTGATTTCAGACAAGGTTCTTCAGTGTCAAGCCAAGGCTGGGGGAAGGTTTTGAGGAAATACTGTGAAAGATGAGTAAAACCTTGAGAACTGCATTTCAAAGCCTTAGTCAGATCAGGAGGGTACGTTCTCAGAGGTGACTCAAAAATAACGGCAAGTCTCTTCACTGAGGGTGCCAGGTCCAGCCGGCTCTTACAGCCACTCACCCATGATTTGAGCAATAGGGTTTATTGGTTTAATTGGTTTTTCCACCTCTTCTTCTGTGTATAGACTGTTGTTGACAATGTAACTCAGCAAACAGCAATGTTTTTGCATTAGGCAGTATAGGCTCCAGCTCAGTCACCCATAACTTGTTTGTTCTGCAAGTGCAAACAGGAAAGCCAAGATATTTGTGCCACTAAAGAGAGCAGCTCTGATGCTATCACCCACAGCAAATCTGGAGAACGAGCGGTCTGCTCTCCTTTTTCAATGTCATGCCAAGATCATGGCCCTTCTGAGTTGCAAATTCAAGAGTGAAAATGTTCCAAAATTCGGGAACTCGGTTCATTTTTCTGCTCAATGAATGATATATTGCCCTGTGAAGTGAGAATTCCTGATATTTTTGTCTTGTATTTCAGGAGATTTCACGACATGTGAGGGAGCTGCTGGGGATCGAAGAGCCAGTCTTCAGCAGATCCATTGCCCTCCCGTACAGAGACAACATGGGCCTCTTCCTGGAGCAGAAGTCCCGATCAGGACAGAAAGCAGATGCCCTCACTTTCTCGCAGTTTGTCCAAGAAGCAGGCCTGGAGCCCTATAGCACAGTTCCTCCTTCGCAACAAGCCCAGGCTGGGTTAGAGGCAGACGCTGTCCCTTTATCGCAGGACACCCAGAGGCAGGATGAGAGTCACACAGAAGTTCCACCTTCGTAAGAAGCCCAGCTGGGACAGCAGTATGTACCCTTATTACCTTGTAGTAAGGAGGTACAGTTCCACATTCTCCCCATACCACAACAGCCCATTGCAGCTCTTAGCTGTTTGATTACAACACATCCCTACACCAGCTCTTTTCCACGAGGATTTTCTGCAGTCCTTCATTTGCTTCCAGGATCTAAGAGAGGCAGAACCCATAAATCAGTCATGAATTTACCACTGTCTTTCCTTTCTGTTTTACTGTTGATTAAAGAAAAAAAAAACAACAATCATAGATGTGTTTTAATTACCAGTTTCTGCCATCAATGATCTGAAGGGGCTTAGTTACAACACAGACAACCAATCCCTGTCCTCATCACGGAAGTGATTTCCTGTGAGACAGAACCCGGCAGTGGTTTATCGTAGTAAACAGTACTGCCACACAAGGCAGGAAGTACGAGAGAACACTGTAAGGTAAACCAGAGAAGTTAGGGAATGACAAATGATCTGTCCTGGGTGGATCTAGACAGAACACCCAGTTAAATGCTTTTTCCCTGAAGTACCACAGAGTCTGTAATGGTGGGGGGACTTCAGTTTTACAACCTATCTGGAACATGTACTGTCACCAGCAAGGAAGTACAAGTAAATGTCGATTAAAGCCTGGCTCAACAGAAAGAGTGCTTCTGACTAAATCATCACAATTTTGTTTGGCCACAAAGCCTTCCTTGAGATCCCCATGGGGAAGAAAAAAGAAAAGGACAGGGCCCAATCCTCATTAATTATTTAGACCAAAGCTGTAGCCAGTACAAAGCAACTGTAATTCACATTTCCGTTGGAACTGATACAGTGAAGCTGTATCAGGTCATAGTCCGAGGTGACTGTGTGATAAGTAAGTTAAGATTAAAATAAGGCAAGATTCGGGTGGTCAGGAAAAAACAAGTTTACCAAGCAGTCTGGTGTATAAAACTTGTAAAAGCAAATGCATCAATAAGGTTATTGGCTGGAACATCTTTTAAGGAGTTCAAGAACAAATAGTGCTGCTTCTCTCAATCCCCAGTCCAGCCTGAGGCAACAGTCATTGTCATATTCCACAGCTGTCCAACAAGACCTTTGTTCACAGCAAAGCCATCCTTAGCAATTTATTCACAAACCGGATTAGGCTTCAAGTACATGGAGAGGTGGTTCTTGTCTCCAAAGGTGAGAATCAAGAGATCTCAGTGCTGATATGTTAGTAAAAATGCTGGTTTTATGCTTGGCAAAGCTGCAGATTGATGCAAAATGGTGTTTCAGAAAAGAGGAAAAAGAATGAAAAGAATGTAATTCTAGTTTGTAATCTTTTATAAGAGAAGATCTCCATCAATAGCTTGTATTACAACCGAGCAGTGGATAAATAAAGGTTTATTAGCTTTTTGGCATTATTTTTTTCCCAGCAATACAAAGTCCTTACAGTCTGTTCCTCTACCACATAAAACTGCATGAGTCCAGGAAGGGGAAATGATGGAAGAGGGTTATCAATATCTGGGTTTTTATCCCTTTGGGATGAGATCTCAGCAAAGCATTCTGCCATGGGCTTCATTATAGCTTACGAGGATTTAGAATCATAGTCAGCAGTTTCCTCTGGGATTTCTGAGAAAATGTTGGAAGCAGTTGTGGGCAGTGAGGTTTTGTGAGCCAATGCCACGCCAGGCTCCACTACAGCTGATGTAAGAGATGTCTTGGTGCTGATCAGCCCACGCTGCTTTGTAGGCCAGTCTCCAAAAGATGCCTGGTACAGCAGAGCAAGATGCTTCTGAAGAAATTCACTCTTGTCTAGCAGCTGGCTGAAGGGAGACTCTCTCAGCTGTGCAGCTGTCAGGTCAAACCAGGGGAAGGTTCTGGGAAGAGAGAACAAGCAGAATCTTTTATTGTAGCTTGCTAATAACTTACCAAATAATGTCTTTCTTCAGTGTCTGACTACTATTTTTTTTTCTGGTCTTTGAGAAACAATCAGACTTCGAGACGTGAAGCTGAAGTGTTCCAGGCATTACTGTGCCAGGCATAGCAGAACCAAACGTAACGCCTGTAGAGAGATCCTGTACCAGTAGGAGCCTTTTCCCTCAGTGTTCCCCTGACTTCACATCCTCAGTAACCTGGTCTTGAACTAATGTAAATTCATTACTCATAAAAAACGTCCTCTCCAGGCATTCCAATAGGATTTATTTATTTATTTATTTATTTATTTATTTATTTATTTATTTTTTGCATCCAGTGTCTCAATCCTGACCAGTGGCTTCAGACAATCCCAACTACCAGACAAACAGGAACAAGGGACCAGGACAAAATAACTCAGGGATGATAGTCCTGGTCTTTTATTGCTAACATATCTAAAGCAATCTTTCCTGGCAGGTGTGTGGTCCTGAGAGCAGCACTCATTTCAGCACCTTCCAACCCAGCAAGACAGCCCCATGCTTTGGCTGTGGGATGTGGCACATTTCAGAGCAAAGAGAAAACCCGGACAAGCAGCACCTTGGCACTCAACCTTTTACTTACTCCTCTTGTGTCATTGAACAGGCAAAATTTTTGCTGACAAAACTCTCGCACTCAAACCGCGGGCAGGAAGCTTTCTGCTCGGTACAGATGGGGCAGTGTGCAGGAAAGCAGAGGTCATTGAGCAATTTCAGTGCCTTCTGGTGAGGCAGGCTCTGCCACATGCTGCTGTTCAGGGCTGCATAGAAAATGCCCACCAGCCATTTGCCGTTGACTCTGATTTTCCCTGCACAACAAACAAAATCAAATGTCAACGACCAATATGCACACAGGTGTGAAGAGATTCTCGACTCACGGGCCTGCAAAGAATTGCATTAGCAATCAGGGCTGGTTTGTTTGAAACCTCTAATTTAGGATCATTTCAGGTGAGGGTATTAAAATTAATCTTTGCTATTGAGTTTAAACAAAGCAAGAGGTTTTACCCTGGGAGCTGAGGGGGCATGTTGCCTGCACAACAGCAAGGTCTTGCAGCGCTGCTGTGATTGTCCCCTTCATCCCCCACTCCTTCGTGGGCTCCTGGCCAGGGCATTGGTACTGTGGCCTCACGATGGCATTGTAGCAAAGGAGTTGCTTCAACCTGAAAACAAATGCACACGAAGAACTGGGTGTGCCAGAAGAGGAGGATACCTCAGAGCCCACCTCCTCCAGAGCCCCTGGCCCCTTCCCTCGGCCCTGCACGGCCCTGCTTTGGCTGCTGGGGGAGAAGCGAGGAAGCAGCTGTCCTGTGTGGGATCTGCAAACTGAAAGGAAGCGCCTTGGGTTTGCTTTTTTTTTTTGCCTGAGGAAAATGCAGGCTGCTGCCTTGCATGTTTTTCACTGCGTTACCTCACGGTTATCCTACAGCAGTAACCAGAGGCCCTGGCAGGAGCGGGGTTTCAGTACCAGGGCAGTGTTTGAGCTGGAGCTGCTTTGACACCTCCTGACCACGTCTGAGTTCAGAGCCACAAAGCCTAAAGCTTCCTTTAGGAAACCAGCTGAGATTCTGAAATGCTCCCATGCACCCAGCAGCTGGGGGCCTAGGGGACTGACTGACCATGCCCAGGCTCACAGCAATGCTCTGCAGCAAAATCGTGAGGCACGGGAAGAGCTGTGCTCCCCCGCAGCTCTGGCTGGGCCAGAGCACACACGTTGCGCTCACCCCTTGAGCTTTGGGCTGCAAAAATGGCCCGGGCCATTTTACCTGGGCAGAGGGACCGCAGTGACGAGGCTGTACACCACGCAGGGTTTCCTGATGGCCGTCCGCACGGTGGAGCAGATGGCCGCCAGGTGTGATGGCAGGCAGCAGAGGAACAGGACGTCCGCCCAGGCCGCCAGCTGCGCATTGTCGTAGAGGCAGGCGAGGCCCTGCTCCTGCAGGTCTGCTGCAGCAACAGAGGTGTGTGGGGCTCAGAGCCCACGGAGCCAGCACGGGGAAGAAGCACCCACACGTGGGTGATGCACAGCCACCCCTCGCAGGCTGGCTGCCCGCCCCAAATGGCACAGGGGGTGGCTGGCTGCCATCACCGCTCCTGCAGGCAGCCTGCTGGCCAGGAATAGACAGCAAGCTCGGCCCATGCACGCTGATCTAAAGCCAGAGAGCCCAGCCCTGGGATCTGGCTACTTTTCAGCATCTATAAAAAGCCACTTAATAACCCCTGCTTCCTCTCTGCCCCGATACGATTATGAGGAGGAGTTTTACACCGAGTCCCACTGCCAGGCCCCGGCTGGGGAGCACTTACCCAGGCTCTCGGGGCGCCGGGTGGAGATGCGGATAGAGGGGCGCGGAGCCCGGCCCAGCGCCAGTAGCACTTGGGCCAGCTGCTTCCCGAGGTGGCCCCCGCCGATAATGCCGACCTTCAGGCCGTGGCTGCCCACCAGGGAAGTCGGCACGGCCTCCTCGGTCCCGTTTGGTCTGGGGAAGCAGAGGAGCTGCCGTCAGCCCAGCGGGAGCCACGTTTGCCCAGACCACCTGCAGCCCTGACCTCCGGGAAGGGTCCCATGCCACGGGCCCTGCTTCTCACACCCAGCCATGGTCCTCAGCAGGGCTACCAGAGAGGCAGAGGCTCCCAGGGACACATTGGTGCTACCTGGACCTGCACCAGACCTGTGGTGATGTGCCTGCGTCACACTTTAGCTCAGTAAGGATGCAGTACTTTGGGAAGAGCTCGGTGCTGTGAGGTCCCCCCGACATGACACCAGAGCAGCACACTTTGCCAACAGTGGGAGCTCACCTCGCCTTACCTGAGGGCCTGGAGAAGCCTGCAGAAGAAGAGGGAGTGGGCGCACGCGTTCACTGCCAGCCCCTTGTGGCGCCTTGTCAGGTACAGCCACCCCTCCTCACCTTCCACGGCTTCATCAGCCTGGAAGGACGCAAAGGGCTCTGCGATGTCACACATCTTAGCCCAGGACGAGCATCAGCAGCGAGGATTCAGAAGAGGGACACGGCCTCCAGCCACACAACGCTGCAGCCCGTCCCAGCACCTGCTAGAGAGGAGGTAGAGGCAACACACAGACCCCGGCTCTTCTCGGGGCTTCTCCTTGCAGACATCTCTTACGTCCCCAATGGCTGCGGCTCAGCAGCAGCACGCAGGTGTGGGAGCCCTGCCTGGTAGCTGCAGCAGTGCTTGAAGAGGGCCACAGGGATGCTTTTGGGGGTATGAGGCAGATGTCACAACAGAGTGGCTAGGAGCAGCCCAGAAAGCTCTGAAAACCAGTTTGTGCCCATTGCCTCGTGCCAGGGAGCCCGCAGCACCACTCAGAGTACCACAAACCCACCCCAGAGATGCAGAGACACTGAGGGCTTTCAGCCATACGGCTCCCACGGGGTAAGAGGCACCACCAGGACAGAAACTCCCTCAGCCAAGCCTGAGCCAGGGACAAAGCCGCCCCATGCCTGCCACACCACGTGTGGTTGGGGTCCTGACCTGCACCATCACTCAACCCGCAGCCTGCCAAGGTTCCACCTGCTCAGGGTCTGTCCCAGTTTGTTCCCCCGCTGCCATGGTGAGCGCCCGGTTACCGGCTGCCTCGGGGCATTCACTCCTTCCTACAAGGAGCCAGGAGCATCGCCTCTTCCAGAGCCCGGCAGCTCCACTCAGAAATCCCACAACCAAGCACCGTCCCGGCCTGGGGCACATGGGTGAGCCCAGCAGCAAACCTCACCCCAGCCAGCAGCTTCAGGGGCATTAGGAAGCGGGTCACAGGAGGCAATCCCTCCTCTACACCCAGGGTGCTGCCTCATTCTGGGCTCTTAGCACAGATGTGGACATACCAGAGTCCAGCAAAGGGCTGCTCAGGTGGCTGAGGGACTAGAGAGTTTTTTGTATGACAGGCCAAGAGCTGGGACTGCTCGCTCTGGAGAGAAGGCTCAGGGGAAGTCTGATCAGTGTGTATAGATAGCTGATGGGAGGGAAGGAAAATAGGCAGACTATTCGTGGTAGCAGTGTCTAGAGACAGGATGAGAGGCAGTGGGCACAAATTGGAAGATGTGAGATCCCGTCCGAACACATGAAAACACTCTGAACACAAGAAAACAATTTTGTTGTTGTTGTTAAACAAGGGGGTGGTCAAATACAGAAAAAGTTGCCCAGACAGGCTGGGTAGGCTTCTGCTGTGGAGATACTGAAAACCCAACTGGAGACAGTCCTGGTCCCCCCGCTGTAGGTGCCCCCGGTTGAGCAGGGGGATTGGATGAGATGATGGTGAAGTCCCTTCCAACCTAATCAGTCCTATAATTCTGTGGGAAAAAAATAAACCAGCAGTGACCACAGAAACTGAGATCACACTTAGTGCACAGTGCAATCGGGATCCTGGAGCCCAAACTTGCCCTCAAACTGGTGCACTGCTGCACATAACCTTCAACTCTCTGCAATGACCCACAGGGCAGCAGAGCTCCTGCAACATTCAAATGAATTCATGTGTGCTGACGGCTTGGAAGGTGTGAAATAAGGTAGTGCTGCAAGCAAAGCCTCTTCCCAGTGACACTCAATGTGCTTTTCAGGACCTAAGAAAACACCCTGCATACTCACTTTGCAGAAGGTGAGAAATTGCTCAGGACCTGCACAGAGTGGCAAAGTGCTCAATGCAGGAAGGAAATAAACAGCCCAAGGAGAAAGAGACAGCTTTATTTCAGGAATGGAAGTGAAGTCTGGAAGGATGGAGCCAGCAGTTGCCTGAGGAGTTGTTTTTCTGAGAAAGTGCAATTCAATCCTTTCTGGCATAACACTCTGAGAAAAAAAAAAACCTGCTGGGGCCAGCAGGGTTGTGCTGACTGAGAAGGGTCGCTCCTGGCTCTCCATCCAACCCAGCAGGGTTCTGACCAGCTCCGCACAACGTGCTCACCCTTCCCTTACCAAGGTATCTGCTGAGAGCTGCAGAGTGCCAGAATGGGGATACAGGCAGAGGCTGCTGCCCTGCCTCTCTGCAGGAGTTCATACAACACTTCTTTTCCTAGGGTGAGCCACAACAAAATGAAGAAATGGACTTTAAGGTGCAGCTGGCCCTTTCCCCCATCCCGCTCTGACACGGGGAGAACACAGCCCAGTTGGCTTCACTCTCTCCACAGCCATGACTGGTGATGCCGAAGCCAGCTTGAACGTTACAGGGACTGGTCAGCACTGCCTGCTGGAGACCCATGAGCGTGGCTGACCTCTTCCTCTTGCTAGTTATAAGCTCAGACACCACACAGAGCAAATGTACCCTTGTCTTGCCCAGCAACTTCCCTCTGTAAACAAAAGCCATGCCCGGCTTACAGCCAGGTCAAAGAGAATCAGATTCCAAAAGGAATCAGCCCTGGTGGATCAGTTCCGTGGTTTCACTGGCTGCATCAGAGCCGCTGCCTTCAACCAGCCTGAACGCTTCTGTCCCGCGAGCCGCGGGCACCCACTGTCACTGACGAACACTGATCATGCAATGAGGAGTAACAGAGTTGCTCTGTTGGCGCTGGACCAGGTTTTGCAGTTCCCTCTCTCGCTGGCAAGGCAACGTCCAAGCAGGCTGCTTGCAGGTGCTCAGTTCTTCCATCGGATTTGCTAAAAGAGAGAAGGCACGACTAACATCAGTGCTGACCGCAGATGTGCTACTTCTATCAGCTTCACCCTTCATTCCTACACTGAATGCAACCCCAAACATAACAGTAGCTTCCCAGGAGGGAGAAAAGAATGTAAGAGAGCCATGCCCTTTCTGCACACCTAACCAAAAGCCATCTCTGATGAGAGTTTCTGCAACAAGCAGTAGGTGTTTCTTACCGTGTTGTTGAGTATGCTGTTTATCTTCTCTTCCTCTGCAGAGCCTCTCTCCACCTTGCATTTATATGCCATCAGCTGGATGCGATCCTTTAGATCCCTGTACGTCTAGATAAACAGCAAAACCAGCACACATCTGAGCGAAGGGGACACTTCCACAGTTGGAAGTTTTCCCAAGACTCAGGAATAAGCAAACCCCACCAGGCACACAGCAACAAATTGGCATGGGAAAGCTGGGGAGAAAGAGCAGGCTCCTGTCCCCTCTCTGCACACACACAGCAAGGACTCACATCTATGACAACATCGTGGCACTTGTATTTTGTGGCAAGGTTCAACCGTGTCTCCACATCCTCTACCAAGCGCACGTATTCCTGCAGCACCTGCAAGGGAAGGAAGAGTGTGTCGGCTCCCTTCTGCAGGTACTTCCGGCACCATTCTTTCACTCCAGCCACAAATTCTTTCAAGGTCACTGGTCACACAGACTTGGCTCCATCCATCCTGAGGCAACAAGTGGCCAGGACAAGTTTGCTAAGGACTCCAAGGGCAGTAGAACTTTGCTCACAAAGCTCCAAGTCCTGTTCCACCTCATTTCTAGGGATGAGGTCAGCCTTTGCCAGATAGATGAAGCATATAGAAAGTAACCGTAGCAAACAAAGCTGGCAATGCACTGTGGAGAGCTCGCTCTGTGGGCAGCTCACCTGGGGAATCGATCATGCCTCAAATCCCAGTGAAGACCAAGAGGACACAGGCAGATCCTTGCTCACCTGGACAGGCGCATTGTTCCTCTGCAAGATCTCCACCACCCGGTGGAAGCCGATAGGTGCCTTCTTCTTGGTGTAGCCCAGCCAGTTCTGAAATGACAGCCAAACCTTTTGTTAAACCTAACAGGCAATCCCTCCAGCCACTGCAAGAGGAAGCAAGAAACTGGTTCTCCCCTTGTGAAGGAAGAAATAACATCTCTCCAGCTGCCAGCAACGCACCCCACCAGCCACCACACGCACCGCTGGCAGAGCCCTTCATCCAGGGGCTAGGCTCGGGCTGGCTGTGAACCATTTGGTAAAGGGGTATGAGGGCAGCCTGCAACTCTGGCCCAGTCACTGCAGCCAGTCCAGGCCCAGCAGAGCTCAGGGAGAGGAGGAATATATTGTAACACCCTGCTGGGCCCTGCTGAAATGAAACCAGTCTGTCTGGTAACTCCACAATGAGCCAGCTATCAGGAGGAGATATCAGCACTTGGAACTGAATTCCCAGCAAGGCTTTCCCCAACTCACCTTGGTGGTAAAGAGGGCATCCACATCCTCCCAGGCTCGCAGCTTGGCACGGGCAGCCAGGGCAGTCAGCACATATTGCTTATCAGGAATCTGCAAGGCAGAGAGCTGCAGTCAGAGCACTAGCACTGCTCAGAAGGCCTGTGTGGGATGGAGAGGAAGGGCGCCTGTCCCCAGCCTTGTCAGAAACCACAAAAACAGCCAGGCAAGGAAGTGAGACACTGCCTGAGACCATGGTCAGCACTGCAGAGAGCAGGAGATGGGGATTTGCAAGTGCTGTTGCAGCCAGGATGCATGGGCCCCACTCAGTGGGACAGTGGAAGCCTCCACATGACTCCCACTTGCATTTCTGAGCTTCCACAATGGGCCTGCCCAACAAGAATGCAGTGCTTCTCCCAAACCCGTGTCTGTGCTGAGCCTCTAAAACTCCTGCCCAGCCCCCTCGCTAAACACAATTCAGTTGCCCACGTTTTCAGCTGGTGCTGCCACACTGCAGGAAGCTCACATACCTTAAATGTTTTCTTCAGATTGGTCGGGCTGCTGAATGTTCCCTAGAGAGAGCAGACAGGCAGTGCAAACTCAGAGGAGGCCAAGATAGAGATTCAAACACCTTTCATTGTAAGGCATTTGCCCAGCACATGATCAATCTCCCTGCTATCAAAGTCTTTATGAGCTTTTTGCTCATTACAGTGACAAAGGAAAAACTGACAGAAGAGAGCAACCAACCTACTCCATTAGGTCTCTGGTTTGGTTTTCACTACATTCTCTCAAGCTGTTGCACCTCCAGCACTTCAGAGACCAGAACCATACACCTCAGCCTCATGGGATTAAGGACTAATTCTGTCTGCTTGGTGGCAGCACAAGACAGTGATTTCTTTTAGGAAGCAACACTGTGATAGGACACCCCAGGCTGAATGTCCTTTCTTAGAGCAAAAAAGAAATCTCCAACCTGGTCCCAGATGGCTGAGGTAGCTTCATTTCTCTGGTCTCTCTTATGGATGAAATAACCTCCTCTCCTTCTTTCCTTAACATGCCCAGCTTAAACACCTCACATACTGAGGGCTACAGGGATGAGATGTAACCTTGGTCCTCTACCACACCATCCTCACCTCGGCCTCCGTGTAGTGGTAGAAACAGGAATAGAAGAGAGTGGTCACTAGTGGCATGTTGAGAATTGAGGCCTTGCGAGGGTATTTCTGAAATATCTCCGACTGCCCAGCCGTCTCCAAGCGCCGATCGTTGGCCTGAGGAAACAGACAGAGAGGGTGAACACGAGTCAGGGCAGCTGCCTGACCCAGTTATGGGGTTTAGGTCTGGGCAGAGGGTTGTGATAGCAAAGCCCAAGCACAGCCTCAACACGCCACGCAGTCTGATGTCTGCTATTTCACACGTGGGCCTGGGTCTGGCACAGCAGCTTGCAGAGCAGTTAAACTACGCCAGCCAGGCAGGCTGTTTAGATGCAGTGTGGTATGAGTCAGGAACAGATACAGATCTCAGATAGTTGCGGTCACCTCCTGACCAGCAAAAGAAAAAGTTCATACCTCGATTATGATCTGTCTCTCCAGCAGTGTATAATGGTCTTGGATGTGGGAGATATCCTCAGGTGGAAATGGCAGCCTGGCCAGACAAGCAGGAAGAAAACAGTCAGCAGCTCTTAACACAGCATGCTTGGAAGGATGTTTTTCTCTGCTGAATGTGCTCTCCACATACAGGGATGTGGGGAACACCCCCTACTCTTCCCAGCCTGACAGTAGGTACTCAAGCTCTTGCCCCATCAACCCTGCACTCACTGCCCTCTCCAGCTGCCTTTCTCCTAGACAGGTTCCACAGAAGAAAAAACAATGTGCCATCCCATACAGAAAAACCTAAAGCTGATGTTACCAATTTCCTTAAGTGCTCAAGCACCCAAGCTTTCACCCTTCACAACCTGATGAGAAGGTCCACAAAGCATTTCTGCCCCCAGGTAAGTAGCAGAAGATGCTGGACTAGTGATCAACACAAATTCTTCTGTCTATGTTATGTCCACAATACCCCACTACCACTGAGGCAAAGCCAGCATCAGCTTTGGAACTACTTAAGCTGCAGTACTTAGACAGGGGTCTCATTTTCTTTATTACCAGCTTCTGTGGAGCACACATACCCCTCCCACCCTCTTTTGTTTTTCCTTACCCAATGCATCCTTTCAGAAATTCCCTCTTCTTTTCTACATCCTGGATGTTCAAATGCTCCCGATACTGAGAGAGCTGGAGGGAGTGGGAAAAGAAGCACAGTCTGTCTCATGAATTTAGGACGTACAGGACTCCAGGGGGCACAACAGGGATGCAAAGCTCTCGCCTGACAACCAGACACCCTGCAGCCACCTCTCCCTGCCCTTTTCATGCTCAGTGCACCCTCTTCACCAAGCAAAGGGAGCTTCTGCTCCTGGAAATACTCACAGCAACT